TTTGGTTAGACGGCTTCCTACTTAAGTAGGTCAAAGACCTTACAAAGGTGTACAGAGCCCTAAATTACCTGCATTCCACCCCATCTAATTCAATTCCTATTGAATTCGCTTGCTCACTCTGCCTTATCGACACCGGCCCCCTGTCCTGTCCTGTTCCTCCAGTGTTACAACTTTTATTACTGCTGTTCTCTGGCTAGAATGCTCTTCTCCCATAAAACTTCACAAATCATTCCTTCACCACTTTCTTAGATTTTGCTCAAATGTCCAATTTTTAAAATTGTAGCCTCATATGCTGGTTCTCTGCCCTGTTGTTTTTTTTTTCCCCCTGTAACATACCGTATAATTGTCTGTTCTACTCCCTGTGCTAGAATGTAGCGAAGGCGAGGATCTGTTTCCTGAAGTAAAGTGCCTTAGAATAGTGCCCGGCACATGGTACATGCTCAATATGTTTTGAATGAATTTCAAACTACTTCAACTCAGTGTTTTCAGATCAATATGTCATTAAAAGATTTACTGAATTGCTGAATCAGAGTAAGGTATTTTGGTTGAGGTTTTCCTGTATTAAGGAATGAACACAGAGTTGAACTGACATTTCATTGGCTGGCATGAGGGTTTTGTGCTCCATTAATGATCACCACAAGTAAGCTTCATGTTTTAAATTTACAGCTCTTCTGTGTATTCACTGTGAAAATAGAATAGTTTCCATCCTGCTACTCTCTTACCTAATCTTTAAGTAGGTAATGAGGAAAATCAAAGTGGTTCAGGGCATGACATGCATTTGGGTTGCATGAACTCAACTAAGTGTCTAGAAAGAGAAAAAAAATAAAGCAGGGCTATTTATTTTACTAAGGGAACTTGTGCCTCAGATGTGAATCTCCTAGTCTATATGAGGCCAGTTCCTCCATATCTTATAGTGAAAGCATCTTGCTACATGAGAGTTGTCTAAAGAAATGGTTTCTAAACACCGACAATTTTGTCAGGTACTCATCTGCATCATTTGAAAGCTGGAGAAAATCACACTATGTATTGATGGTGTCCTCATTAACATGGAGTATTGGAAAATCTTCCTCATTGCTGACTACCTCACTTAAATCAAGGCAACAGAGATGGAACATCCTTAAGATCATCTACACATTCTTTCCCTAGGTTTTTACCAATCATTGTAAAAAAATGAAACACAGTTGAGGGCACATTTGACTAAAGAATGACTAGAATATTGAGAAAATATATTGACCTGATTGCTTTGAAGGTAAATCATGGAATCTGACTAACTTCACACAATAGAAATGTCTTCTTTGATCATATCCATTTGGCAGAGGCTCTGCTCCATGCCCTCATTCACAGACCCCAAGGATGATAGAGGCTCTGTTTAACACATAGATTCCAAGGTGTCATGGCCTATATCTGTCCAGTTTCTTCCTTAGGGTGGTGGTATTTGTTTGCATAGCATAAATTCCTTAACTTACAAGTTGACAATCCTGTGTGCTTATGTATGGGCATTTAAATTCTGGTGAATAAGAAGAAATCCTGGCATCCTTTAGGTGAAGATGGTAAGATATTTAATATACCTTAACTAATGCTACTCTGGTAATTGTCTTGCTCAAAGCTCTGCAGGGCTAGACGTTTTCTCCTCTGGCTTGTACTTGATTATTTTTGGTACCTTGGGACTTCCCCTTTTTAGCCTTGGCAACATTTTGACAATTTGTTTTGGGGATATATTTCATCTGGCATTTTTACGTGTCAGGGAACGGGGAGAGGGAAAAGTTATCCATTAATGTAAAAACACCATGTTGCCAGAGGTCTTTATTCTAAACCCATATTAATTATTATAATATGTTTAGAATGAAGTTTCTGTAAGTATTTTAATAACCTCCTTTTACACTCCAGAATTTAGTTATATATTATTAAAATTGTCCTCAAAGCACCAAAAAAATGAAAAAGGCCTGTAATTACATAGTTCTACAGTTTGCTAATAACCAAAACGTGGGCCTTTCTGGACGTGGGCCTTTTTTGCTCAGCCATATTTGTATGGTAATTCTGGAATGTTAATAAGTAGTCTTAAAGACAAGTCCCAGAATTCTCTTGGGAGTAGAACATTAAATAATGAATTTTAGGTATCTTTGTTTCATTATGTCCTGATAAGTTCTTGCCATGGGAGAGATCCAGATGTCATTTTATCCAGGCCTTACTTTCCTCCTCTCGGTTTTATAAGTTTGGGATGTGATTTGTAAAGGCCTTCCTTACTGGTTCTAAGACTCCACTATGGGTCATCCAGAAGTAGGATATTTACTGCCTTTTTAAGCATTAAGCGAAACAGCTTGGAACCTTTTAAATTGTAAGACTAAATGAAATCGCGAGGCAGAGGAAACTGTGTAGTCACTAGGAGAAACAAAACTAAGATATTCATACTACTTATTTTAAAACATACTCAAATGAATGCCAGTGCAAGAAATCGGGGATGAAGGAATGAAGCAACTGCTAAACCAACTGCAAATAATTTATACTCCTGGATAAAGGAATTTATTACATTTGTACACTATATGAGGGGTCTCAAAAAGTTCACAGAGCAATTAGTATTATCTTTTAATTCCATTTTTCCATGAAGCTTTTGAAGTACCCTTGTATAGGTTCAAGAATGATTTACTCATAATTTAAGATTTTGTGAAAAGCATGGCAATGATGTGTGAAAAGAAGTTTATTATAATGTAAGCATGTTATCTGTTGGATTTTGAAGTACTCCATAGGTACTCCCAAACACTCGTTTGGGGTTAGCAGTGTACTTTCTGGTTAAACATCACATGGGAATTCATACATTTCTCTTCTCAGCAGAACAGTCTCTCCTCTAATGGTATGTAAATAATGAATGACTGGCCTGCTTTTTACCTTAAGCTAAATGTGATACCTCTGGTTTCACTCATTTGCTTTCTAGCAGCCTCCCCAAGTGAGTCTTGCCACATGGTCAGTCTTCTGTTTGGTAGGTTTTATAAATCCTAAAAGTTCTAGTTCAGAAACAGCTCTAATAAACCGAGCACTGTAGGCTACAGTTAAGGAAATTGGCCATGTTGTATTTTTAACAAAAAGCTAAAAATCTCAACGTTAAAATATTACTTGTTAAACTTAAGTAGAGAGTTCAAATATATACTACCAAATTAAACTACAACCCTAACTGAAAAACATTAAATGTAATTAGAACCCATCAGTAAGACATGAATTTTTCACATAGCATGAAAATTACTCTCCCCCACTTCTAAAAGTACATTAGTAGCCTTAGAAAAATAGAGAATTTAATAATCACAGTTTCATTTTGGTAAATTTTAGGATATGATCTTCATATAAATTTGAGACCAAATATTTCAGGTTTGGTCTCAGATTAAATTCAGAACAAATACTGAGAAATTTCAGTTATTCTGGGATGGTATGGTTAATATTAATGAGTAATAAGGTTGTCTGGAGCACCTCTCTATAAGTCTCTAATGTAGATCTGGAGATACCATAAACTTATATTCTATGTGTACTTGGAGATTATAGAACTGGTTTTAAAAGGATACTGGATAATTTCATTCATTTCTTCTGAAGTTGTAGAATTTGCATCCATTTTTTCAGCAGCTGTCACAACTGTTGCAAAAGCCTTTTGAACAGACAAAGAGAAGAAAATAAAAATCTCTTCAATGCCAAACATCTTTTACTACACTTCCTTTGACGGCTCTGTAATTAAGCCAAGTCTAACACTGTGCTGCTGCTGCTGCTGCTGATAGCTGGCACATTTTTTTTTTTCATTATCAAATTTCAGATTTTCAAAACTATACTGATGATCACTTTAAACCAATTATACATTAAAAGATAATGTAATCGTTCCTCCCTTACCCCAGGAAAATGCCTATTTTTCTTGGAAGCAACCAATTACAGACATTTTTTAGCAGTGACAAGACATCTGTCAAATAGGGCCTACAATGAAGTGAAGAACTTTGTAATACTATTCTGAAGAAGGAAGAATAGTTATTTTAAACAACAGTTGTCCATTGTCTTGCTTTGCCAAGTATTCCTTGTACTTCCTGATTGCTACTATCTGTTGTGCAGTCATTCCAGTATTTTTTTTTTCTTTTATGCAAGGAGGTTAATGCTAGTTAATAATATACTTCTTTATTTTGTAGGATAACATAGAACTGACCTAAGTTGTTTAGCTTTTGCTTAATGCTAACTATTGCATTAGATCACATACTTATTTTAACCTAGTATGAACACAGAATTGGTCTGGTTGAGGAATGGAGGGTCAGAGAGCAAGGGATTGGGAGTGGGGATTGTTGAGCTGCTATTGTCAAAGGAACTTTTGAAGTATGAGGTAATTTATGCTTTCCAAATAAAAGACAAGGTGTTAAAAAAAAAATAAGGGTTCAGAAGTACTAAAAGTATAAAGTTATTCCAGGAAAGTTCAGAAATTAACCATCGATGGTTGGTTAGACAAATATAGAGCTTGCTCTTTCCCCTGTGACCTACCTCTGACCAGTCCACAAGGTTGATTAGTCTGCTACACTCTAGGTGCAGTTTATATGCTATGCAGATGTCTGGAGCAATATTTGGAATGCAGCCTTCTTCACTTTTCAGTGCTTCATTCTAAAAAATAACAGTAAACTAAGATGACTACCTTTTAGAAATAATTAGGAACAAAATCAGACATTAATGAACCCCTAACCTTAATTTAGTAAATCAGTAAATGGAATCTTTTGGTTTCCTTTACTTAGTGAGTCTACTCTTCAATAGTTAGCCCCTTGTTTAAGTTTAGGTCTTGGTCATAATCCTTCTAGTTCTTAATCATTAGCAGAATATTCCCAGGATCAAAAGACAAGCATATTTTTCATTTTAATAATAAATTATTAGTTCCTGAGACCCTAATGCATTTCTCAGTTCCTTAAAAAGCTTATGGAATTCTTTGAGAATGTTCAATAAAATGGTACTTCCAACATTTATAATTAACTGAATTCTAGCAATTACTGTACTATATTAGTAAATAGCAACATACCACTATCAGAGGTATAAGTTATCTCTCAAAGGAAAAGACTATGTTGTCAACACTGCAGATCTTAAGCCTTATAGAAACCATTGATGTTTTTTCAACTTATTTGAAATCCATTATTCTTACTGAGAAACACAAAATCTCACATACACACCCAACCTGGAAATTATAACATCTCTCCAAAGACTGCTGCAATCACATCAGTTCTGTTCTGTGACCCACCACTAGCCAAGAAGATAGACTTTGGTTTAAAATCTAAGATAAAATCCCAGAGTCTTTCTTTATTCCATTAGATACAACCATTCAGATCTTTAAGTAATTTCATTAGGCCATACTGCTATAATGTCTACAGGAAACATTTCCTTTATTTTCACAAGAATATTAGTAACACTATACTCTCAAGTCTTAGTGCTTATGATCTGGTTTTATCACATGAAGGGCAGACAGTTTATATGTGGTCAAAAATCGGCACATCAGTTGACCACTGATTAACACCTTCATTTGGTCAGAAAACTCTAAAGTCTAAAGGATTTTTAAAAATATATGAAAGGTGCAAGCTTGAGCTGCCAACTTTCTGCTCATTAAAATAGAACTGCAAATGTACAATATTTTTGTGACAATGAAGCTTATGGCCTGAGCTAAACTGTCAGAGATCTGCTTCTTACCTTTAGGTAATAATAAGGATTGTTAAGTGCAGTGTGGAGAGCGATTCGTGGAGCAGCATTTAAGTGCTCACGAAGGGCGTGGGCAGCACTGAAGTACGCCACCTCATGCAGAGGCTGTGTCTCAGGACGCAGAAGGTATTCTCTGAAACAGCCGAAGTCAGGTATCAGCTTTTAAATAAGCACAGGTTTATTTTCAATATAACATTTTTGTCAATCCTCTGTAGAGGACTGAACAATTTACTTAAAAAGCAAAATCAACAACAACCAAAAAGAAAACAAATCCAAATATCAGATCCAGTGCAGTTCATTCAGAATTGAACCTCTTCCATATAATATTTTTAAAAACTTCCTCCAGACTCTTTACAGTATAAGGGACTATATATTTCAGATGCTAATAAAACCTGTAAGAACAAATGTACATATACTTCATTTCTGCTCAAAGTTCTTAAGACAGAATTTCTTAAAGTATTAATTAATTTCTTTAAACAAATTATTAGAAAGCCAAGAGATCCACATTCTGTACCATAGCAAATATTTTAACTCTTAGCAGTGTTAAAAACAGGCCTCAGGCCTGGAATGAGGAGTCTGGAAAATTCTCTTTGTATCACAGAAAATGTTTTAGTTGCTATCTTTCATAGAAATGATACCTCAAAAGTTTTTAATACATTAGAATTACTTTTTACTTTAGAAGGCAGAAAAGGCTAAATTTTAGTTTCAGAGTATTGAAAAACACACTGTTGGGCCGGCCCGGTGGCGCACTGGATAAGTGCACCGCTTGGGAAGCGCGGCGGCGCTCCCGCCCGAGGGTTCGGATCCCACATACAGATCGGTTCCCGCTCACTGGCTGAGCGAGGCGTGGGAGCAACACCGAGGGCTGCGGTCCGGTACGGGGGCAACACTGAGGGTTGCGATCCGTTGCCGGACACGGAAAAAGACAAAAAGACAAAAAAAAAAACACACACTGTTCATCAGTAAAATTTCAATTATAAAAAAACCTCACCACAAGTTGGGATTCTTCTCTTATTTTCTGCCTATGAGCTAGATGAGAAACTAATTTTAATAAAATCTGAACTTAAAAAATATAGCATTAAAATGTTCACTTTGAATTTATAATGAGCCCATCAGCTGGTCTGTGCCATGACAATGACATCACTTTTAGGTGGCCTGGAGGGTAGCAAATTGGAAGTGAGAAGCTTCGGCACACACAAGTCAAAGACAATCACTAATTGGATTAAAGTAGTTAGCTCATATGCCTTCATAAAGAAAATTCCCGGGGCTTAACGCCCTGAACTTAAAGCATTTTGGCCAGATTGTGGCCAGACCTGAGCTTAAAGCATTTTGGCCAGATTGTGTCAGCTCCTTTTCCCACCACAGTGCAGAAAGAACAAAGCAGCTACCTCAGTCCATCAACCAGGGACATTATCCTCCTCTTCCAGATGTCCTGATTTTCTCTCTTCCTTCTGTAGACAATACCACTGCCTAAAAAATACCCCTACATCTGCTCTGCCCTGGTGTGGTTAGTGGCTTTAAAGAAGAGAGAAAGTGAAGAGTATTCCACACGTACATCACTCCTCATCACCTCCCTTCGTCTCATTAGTTCCTAACACCCTGCTCATTCCATGTCAGATGCTGCTCCTTCTCCAGAGTCAACTGGAAAAAAACCATTTGCAAAGAGTGTGACTTTGACTTGACCCTCACTAAGGACCAGCACTCCATACCTGAAGTACTGCTAACACCTTAATTGCTTAAGGTTGAGTTAATTTAGCTTAGCCTCAGGAAATGGTTTCTGTGATGCTGATTGCTTCCCTGGATGGCTGGCTACCAACCTGTTATTTCTGACCATAAACTCTTCCTATACTAACCTCATGTAGTCACTCCCCAATTATTATACATGGCTATCATTAAAAAAGATTGGAAACCTAACAAGGCAACAAGACAGCCAATTTCAGACACTCAAACTATTGCCTCATATTTGTACTCTTTTCTCTTTTTAACATCTTTACACGTAATGTTTGGAAATTCAGGCAATTTCCAAGGCCCAAAGGCCTTTTTGGATATCCTCAAAGAAACTCCATTAGAGGCAAAATAAAATATCTGCCTTTATTTTGTTTCCACTGGGCTACATTAGTTGAACAACAACAGTGACAAAACAACATCGTACATTATAATTTTTACCCAACTGTAGGCTTGGAGATTGGCATAGAAATATACTTCTGCAACTGATTTGCTATTGGGCTACAAAGTTCAGCTTGATTTTGATGATAACAGTAATTTAGAAAGTGGCAACTTATTCTCCACTCTCAAGATCTGGCAACTTATTCTTTCTTGCCTGTGAGTATTTTTGTCAAGAGTTGCTCATGGTATACTGTGAACCCCACACCTCCTAAAGTCTACTGCTTATATATATATATATATATTTTTTTACTGGAACATAGTTGGTTGTACATATCTGTGGGGTACAACATTGAATATCAATACCAGTGTGCAATATGTGATGTTCAAATCAGGATAACTAGTATATTAGTATAGTCCTCATTTTCAATGTAATCAATTTTCATGGCCCTCTACCAATTCTTCCCTTTCACCCTTCCCTCTCCCCCTTTCCTACCCCCAGCAACCTCAGTTCTCTCTCTCTCTCTCTCTTTTTCTGTTAGCTCCGACATATAAGTGAAGACATGCAGTATTTTTCTTTCTGTACCTGGCTTATTTCACTTAATGTAATTTTCTAAGTTCATCCACATTACTGCAAATGGCAGTATTTCATTCTTTTCTATGGCAGAGTAGTATTCTATTGTATAAATATACCGCATTTTTATTATCCAGTCATCTTAAATGCCAACCTAAACATTTATCTTTAAAGGACATCTTTTCCCTAGAACTCCAAGCTGTGTTCAAACATCTGTGATGTGGCCCTTGGAGGCAGTATGGAGGAACGGAAATGGCATTCTGAGTGATGTCAGGAGTCTGGGACTGTGTGACCTTGCACAAGTATAGCCTCTCTCGTGGGTCTAGCTGCCACATGACTGCCCACGTCCCTTTTAGCTCTAAAGTACTACAATCCTAATCTTTTCCCTCCTAGGACAGACCATCTTGGTAAAAACAGTAAATATTAGGGCATGTAAGATTTTGTGATTTCACAACACAACTCATTTCAATAAGTACTCAAAAAGATAAATAGTCAGACATATTAGGTCAAAGACCACAAAAAGGGAATAGTTGGTGTGTTTCAATTAGGATAATTTAAATTATCCTACAATTTAGGATATGTAGGAACTCAGGAACATGACATTTGGCCTATAAATGATGATAAATCACACTGCAAAATAATTTTTAATTTTGGCTACAATGGTCATAACTTGTTAAAGTTTGAGCCTAGAAACTATAAGAACAGGAAAGCCCAGTAGGGCAAGGTTAACTCTATGAGTTCTAAAATATAATTTTTGGCCAATAGGTCAGTTCAATATTGCAATATATCACTTTGTTATGACACACCTCTCTGTCTTTAACCATCCTTTTGTCACAATTGGTTGATCATTTTGGACCTATTTCATGGCATTAGTAATTTCTCCCCAATGACCAGGAACAATGACTCCTCCCCCATGTTGTTTTGGAAAATGGAACTTTTCATTTTCAGGAAGGACAGGTAATTTATCAGAAAACCACTCTTTTTCTTCATAACTGAGTTGCTATTTTTTTTTCAGTACTTGATTCTATTCAGTACCTAGCCTGCTGTTGAGTTTAAAAAACAGAATAAACAACGATAATGGGTTTTCTTCTACTTTTTAACTATTAAATTGTTTTCTTTTGCACACTTATTCCAACTTTCTGAAAGGTAGCTTAAGTGGGTGATTTTACACAGCTACATAAAGCTGACTTTGGGGAAATCCATGAATTGGAATGATCTGGGTTTCCTAAGAAGGAATCATCTGAAAGTACAGGCTAGACTGGTGGACTTCTAAATTTACTGAGTACATGTCTCATTGTGTTTAGTGCTGGAAATGAGCTGCAACTGGTATTCTTAAGAATTAGAAATTGTTTATTCAGGATAAAATAAAACAGCATGGCTAGTCTGCTCTGTATGTTTTCTGGGCTTGGCCCAAATCCAGCATTTACTCCTTGCAAAGACAAAGCAAGGAAAAAGTGTAATGAAAACACTCTGCTATTAGAAAGGAGAAAAACACTCACTTTCTATCTCCTTGTCTCTCTCCACCTAGCCTCAGGCACTAGATCAAATTTAAACCTGTATTCTTGAACTGACAGTAAAAGAATGTACTAAGTCATTTAATTATATATATTAATAAGGATGGAAAAGGAATAAAAATTACAATTCTAAGCTGGAAGCAGGGATATGAAAAACATAAAGCCTAATCTAGGAGAATATGTCCTAGATTGGCTATGGATAACTATTATGCCAGTGTTATCTGGAAAAATAGCATGATTTTTAGCTCTTACAAGTAATAGACTCACCTCACTAGACAGTCAATGAAGTTTACAACTTTTTCTCTGAGTACTTCAAACTTGGTTTGCTTCTTACTTGTTCTTCTTAACTCCTTCATTTCCAATAAGGACTACGGATGAAAGAACATACCTTTTCTAGTGATCCTGAGACAGAAAACCCCTCAGAGGGAGATCTGTTGCTCAAGCAGAGGCAGCTAATGCCCAGTCCGTAAGACAGGATGTGCAGAGAAAGAACAGATCAAAATGGGTTTTGTTTATTTTTTATTTTTAAGGTCTGGTAAGAATCTTTCTTTCCTCCTAAATGTTTTGGTGTAAATACACATCAAGGGAAATATCAGGGAAAGAGGAAAAGGGCAATTCACTTCATTATTAAGTTATATTGCAGAGTGCTCATTATTCACAGTCCATTATCTCATTTAAGAAAAGGACTTAGAGGGCCGGCCCGGTGGCGCACTGGAGAGTGCGCTGCTTGGGAGTGTGGCGGCGCTCCCGCCGAGGGTTCGGATCCCATGTGGAGACCCGTTCCCGCTCACTGGCTGGGCGCGGTGCGGGTGCAACACCGAGGGTTGCGATCCCGTTGCTGGTCAGTAAAAAAGACAAAAAGGAAAAAAAAAAAAAGAAAAGGACTTAGAAAAAGAAGACAAAAAACCTTGCCTTTTTGCCATACCAACAGAATAGATTCCACATGTTTTGTTTCACTTAGATTGAATTTTTACTCTATATTTATCATAACTTGGTATCAGGGTACAAAGAAGGTTCTTTTCTTTTCTTTGACAAGCAAGATCCTAAAGTTAGAACTATCTGAAAAAGAATATACTGGACATACTATAGCTCAATTTTTGCTTAATACTGTGAATATGCATTTAAAAAATCAAGAGAAGTAAAACTAATGAGTTAGGCTCTTTTAAATCTTCCAGTCTGAACAAACAGAAAAAAAAATACATCAGATAAATAATCTGATTCTTTTTTACAACTACCTTCCCATTTTCACTATTGCTAGTTAATTCTACTTCTCTTTCTAGGCCTACAGGAACAGTTTCCACCTGTGTTGGCTGGTAAATTCCAGACTATGTGTGTGTATAGACTGAGAATGGCAGTGGGATAAACAGGATGTTCAAGTTAGGAGTGAGTTACAAAGTCTGCTTTGTTCCTGCTTGTGGTTTAAAAAACAAAATCAAAAACATCCAAGCAGAGCTAATCTAGAGCACAAACTGAAAAAGGCGAGCATCACAGGATGTAGTTGGTAGGAAAAGAAAGTGACCTGACCTTCTGAAGATGATAGAGGTCTGTCTTCGGAAGCCCCTTTGACTGTGACCCAGAAGCATCTTCTTCCTCTTTGGCATCTGCTTTTAATATAATACCAGTGAACAACAATTACAGTCAATTCAAGTCAAGAGAACAAACATTTCTACTAATCCAAAGGAAGTAAAGTTTCACCTTTTTTAATGTGACAAGAGATCAAGGTTCCATCAGATAAATTTTTTTCCAAAAGCTGAAGGTCAATAAATACTACATAGTTTATGCTATAGAGAGGTCTTCAAAAAACCAGCCCCCGAATTTTAAGTGTTACCACAATGAAAACAATACAAAATACAACTAAACAACCCCCCCTCAAACCAACAGCAAAAAGCCTCAAATATTTATGTTGTTATAAATAGCTTTTAAAAAAAAAATCAAACAAACTTAAATGGTTTTCCTCTGATTATGCCAAGATTATAAACACCACAATCTATACACTGGCAAGCCAGGTCTCAATCTTCCAGGTCACTATTTTTGACACAACGAGTATGAAGAGATTAGTGTGTAAAAGTTTTGAAATAATCTAGTAAAACATTAAGTGCCTCATGGTTCTTTAGCAAAGGGAACAGAAAACCATAACTGGTAAAATGTACAGTTGTGCTTCTTCTAGATAGCCTGAGGCTCTGATAGCCCCATCCAAGTGTGGGGTGGGTTTTAGAAACTTGACACTCCCATGATTTGTCTGGCCTAAATCTAAGACAGCAGAGTTCAGCTAGAGAATAAGCACTGTTCTGAAAGAATAAATTTCTTTTTAGCTATGGATAATTGCTGGTTCAAGAAAGACATAACTTAAGGTTAAAATATCTACTAAATTCTTTGTCCCATTTCATTAACATGTAGCAGAGCCTTAAGAATAAATCTGATTTGATACTCTGCCTTACTTAACCCTCTCCAACTATAATTTTATACCCAAACTGTAATCTACAATAAGTGCTAAGGAGCCAGAGATAGTATATAGTCAAATATTTCTACTTATCCAATGTGCAGAGTTTTAATTTCACTTTATTATTAACAATGTGTCATTTTTGAAAATTAAGAAATACAGATACTTCTTCAAGACGGTGGTTTTGCTTTAATTTATAAAATTCTTTATTCTTTAGGGTGTTAATCACCTTAATCTCCAGCCTTCCCACTTCAAAAAGCTGCATTTCTTTATTTAGTACCAGCTCATGTTACATGAACTCTAATTAAAATTATTCTAATATCTTCAGTTTCTTTTTACAGAAATCCCTGAGTCCAACGTTGTAAAAGATTGAAATTTACCTAATTTATCTTATATTCTTCTAAACTTTTCACCCTATTTATGTCCTTAAGGATGGTCCCTCACTGGTCCAGTGACCACAATTAGGGGGCACGTAAGTTGTAAATCAGTGAGAAAAAAAACAATGAACTGGTAGTTAAGAAAGGTGGGCTCTAATCTGGGTACTACCATTAGCTAGCTGTGTGATCTCAAATGAGTTACTTTCTCTTCCTGGACTTCAGTTTCTGGTTGTAGCTGGATTCAGTGATCTCAACCATACCAACCTCCCGCCTTTTAACATTTTCATGTTCTGAAGAGTGGTTCAGCTCATGCTGTAGTGGCAAAAGAGCAATGCCGATAAACTGGAGGGAACCCTTTTAGTGTCTGTGGAGAACTATTTCATTCTGGCTGCTCATGCCAATCCAGTTAGGCAAACTTTCTCTTTCATCTTCTATGACTGAGCACTCAGCAGCAGCCTCACATTGCAGCTATGGAGAGATAATGGAGGGATTTCGGCAAAGGCAGTTTTCTAAATTCAAAGGATTTTTAAGACAAAAGAATACTTGCCAAACATAGAAAGGATTAAAATGGACATTCCAAATAAGATATTTTCACTATGTCATGTCCAATTCTATGTGCCTATATACAAGGCTGCCTCCTTCCTCAAACTTCATTAAAAATTTCCCTAAATAGGGGAAAAGTAAAAGGTATACACCATTTTTTTTTGTTGTTCTACCAGAATAATACCATACTTTGGTGCTAGAAACCAAAGAGCCCATGAAAAGTTGATGATGGCGGCAGGTGTACCCCATGACCTGAGACTGGGGCGGGTGAGGCT